AAATCGATCTATCATACAGATTACAGATGAACGATGTCTCTCGTTCGACGGGTAATTAACAGAAGCTCTTTCACTGACTGGCGTTTTTCGTGCTAAAGAGAACATCCGGTTGCACGTTCACGAGTAAAACTGATGGTTGGTTGCTCCTTATTTTTCTTGTCTCTTTTTTTTTTTTCTTTTTTCACTTTAGCTAAGAACACGAACGTGATACAGTCGCGAAACGACGGAAATAAAAGTATTAGAAAAAAAAAAGTCTACGCAACATCCGTTAGCGCGTGTGTGAGGAGCGCTTAAATATTCGCGGGCAAAAGAAGTCAGGTCGAGTCAATTAAAATGGCGTCTAAAGAAAAAGACGATGTATCGCATCGTCCAATCGCGACTGTGACTGTTTCTCGCTGTTATGACTATTCGAAGTATTCGGACTATAATTTATATTGCGTGTGAGATAAAGCTTCACGTGTTCCTTTATTAGTAAACGATCGATCGATAAATTCGAAAAACCCTGGAAGTTAATTCGATCCACACGTGTTTGGGCTTCGGTGTCGCGCGAGTCAAAACTGTCAAAAGTGTCATTCGTTATTTTCACTTAAAAAAAAAAAATAAAACAAAAAAGAGGAAATGACTCGTCTCATTCGCCTTAAAAAAAAATAAATGAAAATTCAAAACGTGGAGACGAGAAAGTAATGCCATTGCTGGTAGTTCAAAGAATGATAAACCGTTGCGAGGTTAACCTAACTTTATGTAACAATGGTTTCTTCAATGAACAAACGATCAAGAAATATAGCACATATATCAATAAAAATACGAAATAAATTGAGAAACTAACGTAAAGGATCGCTGAAATGACTTCGATTCGACGTCGCTTCGTGAAAACGCAACATTCAAGTCGATATCGTCTCGAAGCATAATCCGCGTGAACCTCGCGATCGAACTATGTACGATAATTTTACAAAGTCGTTGACACGTCCGTTGATAAAGCTCAACGAGCTTGATAGAGCGGAGTGAAGGTAGTGTTTTTCAGCAAGCAGAAGATTACGCCATTCCGATAACTTCACTGTGCCAAGGTTACTATCTCGAAGCGCGTGCTGCACCGCCGTATGGGAATGCTAATGGTATCCGAACCTTTTTCTTTCACGAATTCTCCCGCCTTCCCGCCGGTATTGTTATTCTCCTGTCGTGATGTTACAGCACGCGCAACCACATCCATTGCTTAATTACAAGCTGCGCGGATTGTTTTTCTCTCTATTCCGGTTGTGCAACGTGGCGCGTACAATGAGAACTTAATTAAGCATCGTCCACACGAGACGCCCTTATCACGTTACACGCACTTGAATTCCTACGCAGCTCACAGATATATATATACATATATATGTAGAAACACCAAGTATTTCGGAATTTCGCGAACACTGTTAACAATGGAAATGTAACTCGCTCGATAGTTTAAAGCTGACTAAAGTAGTAACTGGAGAAGTCATTATACAGGGTGGACCAGCTAAATATCTCCTATTCGCTATTTTTTGTCGTACAAAAACGTCGTCTCTTCATGCTTTGCAAAAATATCCAAAAATAAATATAGGTTAATTACAAAAAAAAAATATCTCCAACTTTGTCCTCAGAAGTTTCACCGAAAGTGGAAATATTTAGCTGATTCTATTTAGCTGATCCACCCTGTATAAACAAAATTGTAGGATTAAGAAAATATGGAATTAATTATTTCTTAAGAAATATTAATAGAATAATACATCGATAAATGCATTACTCTATTATTAAAAATCTTCGAACATAATGTTTGACAATGATATAATTTACAATTCTAACACATGTATGTAAACGAGATCCTACTATCACTAAACTATCATTAACATTTTACTCTGTCTCTCAGTAAAAATATATGGAATGAGGTACGGCATGTACGGTGAATTTTGAGGTTATAAAAACTACGTCCGATGATCGGTGACGTTTTTCGAAAAGGAACAGAATCGATTCTGCGTCGTATCGCGTAATAACACCGGGTTAAGTACAATGAACTTTGCGTGTGCGAAATTACATCGTGGCAACAGGCCACGCAAATAAGCATGTGCTTGAGACGTATTTACATGGTAGATCGGTCAGTTCGCGTATCGCGATAAATATCGTGTACGGGAGAGGTAAACAGAAAAACAGCTGGAATATCGACTCTCACCTGGAATGACCCGCGCGAGGGCAAACAACGACGATTATGTCAGAGGGACGACAACGCGAATAATTCACTGCTGGCGCATCATCGTAGAGACTAGGAAAGCCCTTTTACATCCTCTCCGCCATTTACTGCACCGTTACCCGCACACGCACGTTCGCGACGACCAGACGGCAAGAAACAGAACACGTAAGGGAAAGGAGGGGAGAACACGCGTTTATGTTCTATCAACAATGAATTAACAATAAGAACGTACTTGTAGCATGTTTCGTTAACAAGCGTGCTAGCACGAGCCAGGCACAACGTACATTATTAAAAAGAACGACGTAGGTAAGAGGAACGTTACATTTCGACTTGTTTCGCGCGCCCAATACGCGATCGTACGCAATTTTTGCAATTGTGAGAACGAGAAAAGATTGAAAATTTGATTGGATGTTGAGCATATTTACGTAAGTAACATACACGCTATCTTCAAAAAAAAAAAGAAAAAAAAAATAAAAATCATGCGAAAAGGAGAACGGTCATTTTGATTGGTTTTGCGCGCCGATCGTACTCGAGTGCAAATAAGGCCACGTAAGGGGCACCGAAACGGCACTTGCATATTAACGAGAGGGAAGCTTCTCTCTTCCCTTACCCAGCGATGTAAGTATATTAATATACATTAAGCCGTGCGTGTGAATACGCGCGTTACAATGAGTGTGTATACGCATTGTACGTACTTGCGTGAATATCACCACTCCCGTAGTTGAGGATCCCTGCCCGATGAAACAGAGACAGGGAACTCGGCGAAGAAGTGAGAAAGAGGTGGCTGTAGGTTCACCACGAAGAAAAACACACGTCTGCCGGAACGCGAGCCATGTTTGTCCCTGGCTAATTCACCGCGAGACTTGTAAACCAATACGAGTATTTTGTTGACAGTTCTGTTGTGGCATTGCCTTCGTTCTTCTCCACAGGCTTCACCGGTTCCGCCACGGGATAAACCTTCATTTACGAGCCACCGCGAAATACGTACGGTTTCCACGACTTTCCTGTCAATCCGACCTGCCTAACCTGATCCTCGCGTCTTGACTGGGCAGAAGAATGAATACTAGGCTTATTATGCGCAACTACACTTGCGCAGGACTCTACCGGCTGCGCTAACTTATGGCGGGAATATTTCAATCCCGGCAAAGTGAAATTTAGTGTTTTTGCTAATTCACGTAGTAAACTATTGTACAAAAATACAAGATGTATTTAGTGTTACGTAAAATTGACAAAAGATTCTAACAAATGCGATTTGAATAAAACGAAATGTAATTTTTTTAGCAAACTTTTTACAGTAGAATATCGAATTAAACTACAAGATGTATTTAATATTGTATGAAATTTATGCTATAAAAGTTTAATTTTCCCACCGTAGGAAAAGAACTTATCACGTATGAAAAATTATTTAAGTATAATTATTATTTTAGAAGTAATGCGATGTAATACGAGATAATAAATATTTCTTAGTAATATTCCACAATCATGAGACGTCTAATTAACGCTAGGAAATGTATAATTTTCATGAATTAGTGGTATTAATTTAATCATAAGCGCTGTTTCAACCTCGTGCGAATTTTCCACGTTTAACATGGAGAAACAATTTTCCTTAAACTTAACGCTTAAGCTCTGTTTCACTACATTTGTTAGTGCAACAGCAAGTACTTGACATAATTTATAATCGTAATCAAGTGCAATATAATTATTGTACAACATGTTTTGGTTAATATGCACCGTAAACTTTATGTAAAAATTGATCCGCTGCAATAAAACTATTTCGTTCAATATGATATTCAAGAATTTTTCTTTGTCGGAGAGAATTAGTCTATTCTGTAATGTATAAAAATAAGAATTAATATAATACGGTATTAATTATTATTATAATGTACAAGCACTTCAAGGAAATAAATAAATCGGTATCTTTTTATACAATGTTACGTACCTTTAACAAAAACGATAAATACGTTTTTTGATAAAAGAAATTGATAAGATTCGTGTCATTTTTATTTCGCATCAACGATAGACGATTACGTATGAAATGTAAATCCAGTGTTTCCTGACAATTGCTACGTTCATTCCGACTGCACACTGTAGCAATTAGTGAATTTTTAAAAACATTGTCTGCAGTAACGAAGTTCCAAAATATTTCACGTGAAAATGATAAAATATCATTTATTGATTGTCCGTAATTAGTCAGTTGTACCGTATAATACATCGAGTCGTCTTTCACTAATGTGACATCTATATAATTGTACTTCACCTTTCCAAATGAAGTTTTCGAGTTCCATTCTTCGAAATGTCGCAATATCTGTTTCACAAGAAATATATACATATAAGAAAGGGAACTAGGGAATCAACGAAAGTTCAGTTGTGAGAAATGATTCATATTTTTCTTAGATTTGAAAAATCTTTTAAGGTCGACAATTACGAATGGATCGAGAATAATTGAAAGAACACGGCAAGGTTAGACAACAAACAAAAACCTGCTTCGAACGACTCAAATGAAAAAAATTTTGGTTACGAAACAAACGAACACTAATCACAACTATCGCTGTTAATTCAACAAATTGTTGCACTAATACGAATACTGTGGTGCAGCGTACTTTTTTGACAATATGCACGAGTAAATTCGTGTCCCATATAGCGGTATCCATATTCGCAGGTAGACTGATTTGAAACTACCGGTATTGTGAACCCTGACCTCTAGGTACAGACGATAACACTGAAAGGTTCTTCCCTACCGATAAAGGAGTCTTCGCTGTGCAGAAATCAACAGTGGCACGCGAAGGTAGTGCGGTGTCGGTATACGAATTCTTTATGTTGTACCGCGGTGTACGTGCCTTAGCGGAAGTAAAAAAAATCCATGTTTAGAAGGTGACAATAATTTCCTATGTTGTGATCGGCTGTGTTCGGTCGTTACGAAGCCATAACCGAACCAAGGCAGTGTCGTGTAACATTTTTTCGTGACGAATAACTAACAGAAGCATATCGAATGACAGAACACGGAGGGATAGACGAACCTAACCTCAATGAAGAACGTGCTACTCCACCGCGAAAGATTCGTCACCGGTAAGGATCTTTGTTTTTACGCCGGCCTCGGTATTTTTCATTGAAAATTATTCGAAAGTATGATGAAAAATTTCCATATACGAATATACGCTTAGACGTATACATCGGTATACATCGGTTGGTGACGCGTGTTACTTGGATACACCACACGCTTTTTAACAGCCAATCAAAATGCAGTATACGTCGCCTGACTCGTCAATCAACCAATCACGACGGTCTGTCAATTTTTTGATTGCCTTGTGTGAAAATCCATAGAGTTTGTTGCTGCTAAATATACGTAATTATCGTACAATAAGAAACGAAGATATGCCTCGTTCGACTCTTGTACGATGCGTTGGATTTTCGTAATAAATTTTTTCAAGAACAACATACGCCGTAACGTTAATACGTTTATTAAATAAGGGAGGACACACTTCCGTGTGTCTACATACGTAGTGCTTCGCAAAGTTAAAATACGTTAATAGCTGACATGGATTCATCGATGACTAGTCGATTTATTTATAAATTAATTTTCTTGTAATTCCATTTCCATTTTCCACATCTTGTAATTTGCATACCTTTTTCTCCCCGTCGAATTCGTCTATATTTCATTATTTGCAACCGACAATATCTTTTTATATCAGTATAAAGTGATAAGAAACTTTCTATAATTTTTGTGTCTCTATGAATCTCTTTTTTACTTTACCAGAATTTTTCGTTCGAATTCTTTCATTTAGATCGACGTGTCGTCAAATTGAATGAGAAATAAAAAATTAAAAAGAAAAATTAAAAAAAAAACAAATACGTGTGTGTAACATATCAGTTGTCGCATTATCGATTATGCAATATGATACTTCACTTATCAATCGACATTGTACGAATCATGCGATTTTAAATAAAATTTCGTATTCACGTGATCGGTGACCCTGATAGTCAAACTTTTTTGTTGCATCATTAAATACGATGTCGAATATCGTGCTAATTACATTAATTAGTTTCTTAGAGACTCCGAGTTCGATTAATTTATATATTCAAATATCATTTTTCAAGTCGTTCAAGCTGATCGATCTCGATCATTATTAATCACGGTGGATAATATACTTCAGTCAGTGGCAATGCTTTGACGAAACACGATTAACTTATTTTTAGAAATAAATCGAGTTGAAAATGCTAAAATATTTAAATATAAAAATACACGTGCTAGAAAACGGAAATATCAATACATGTGGATGTATGTATGTACATATGTAGAAATTCCGTCTCAGTATGTACAAACGGACAGTATGTACAAGCAGACAATCCAACAATGTTTGGCCGTCTTACCGCGCGTTCTGAGACACCCTGTAGATCGAGGCATTTTGACCGTGATTGTTTGCGGAAGCACGCCCGAAGATTATGCCAAGTATATTCGCAATTATTGTTGTCGATCATTTCTTTGCACGTGTTTATCGTGTTATCAAGGCCGGTTAAATTATCAGTTTCACAAGACAATCGAATAGACTGTATATTTTAATAAATTTCGAAACGGGGTCAAAGGTCTTCCTTCTTCCTTCGTTCCCTCCACGAAACTACTGATAATGTAATAATAAAAAAAAAAATTTCCTCGTTAATGTTACCAGCCGAGTAGCTGGTAATATTAATATGGAATTTTTTTGTTTACACATTATCGAGAATATGGAAAATATTATTCAATATTGTTCAGTATAACCTAACCTAACAATACATATTTTTGCTACTTATTAGTTACAAGACTGTAGTATATACGATTTGGAATATTCAATACATGTTATTTTCAAGTTGAAAAATAGAAATCGTTTTTTACAACTCCCGATAAAGTTAGATAAAATTTTACATGAAATTTACATTTAATGTACGTGAATTTTTACCAGGTTTATTGCTTATTTATAGCACGGCCGGTTTGTTAAATTTTCTCGATAACTCGAGGCATGTGTTTTGAAACAGAAACGAAAAAAGTTGCAAAGTTAGAAAACAATAGAAGATACTCCGATACTTTGTCCCGGTGATTTCTAAAAATATTGTTCGGCAAGTTTACGCGTGCGTTGCAATCATTACTCTACAAGAAACGAATTGCGGAGAGAAATTTCAGCAATGTTTGTTAAAACGTCGAAAGAGAAGCGAAAAAAAGAAAATCAACAATGAGAAAATTACAAGGAGAAGATGAGATCGGTAACGATAGGCGTCTCGTTATGTGAGTAACGATTTTTATGTTAATCGGGCACGTTCTTGGTTAGTCCCCGATTCGTGATCTTAATATCACACGATCCCCAAAGTCACGAACCGACCACGCGGTCATCTTCATCGTCGATTATCACCAAGGCATTTCTCGTTTTCAGCGAGATAAAACGGGCAGCCTGTTTCCGATCGAGTTAGCGTGCCGCGTACAGGTTTCTTCGCCGAGTAAATCAATCGGCCGTTCGAACGCGCCAAGTCAGAAGTGAACTTGATCTTTGAACGCAAAGATTCTGACATTCCGCGTACATACGTATGTAAAAATAAAAATCAAATAGTTCGTGAGTAGGATTCGACAGGTGGCAAATAAATTGTTTATTGTAAAATGAGTAAAAGAGTAACGATTTACAAACACAGCTAATGTAATACAGTGAATCGTTAGAAAATTAGTAATTAAAAGTTTTCGAAGGTAACTTCGCAATTAGTTCGCTTAATCGGAGAATAGTTACCGATACTCTGGATCGGTATCGAAGAAAGTTACTCCTTTTTTTCTTTTTCCTTCTTTGGTGTCAAATAAATTGTTTATTGTAAAATGAGTAAAAGAGTAACGATTTACGAACACAGCTAATGTAACGTGATACAGTTAGAAAATTAGTTATAAAAAGTTAGAAGTATTGTTAGAAAATTGGTAATTAAAAATTTTCGAAGGTAACTTCACAATTAGTTCGCTTAATTGGAAATTAGTTATCGATACTCTGGATCGGTATCGAAGAAAGTTATTCCTTTTTTTTCTTTTTCCTTATTTTTCCCGCGTACATACGTATATTATCGAGCATAGTAAAAATCAAATAGTTTGTGAGTAGGATTCAACAGGTGGCAAATAAATTGTTTATTGTAAAATGAGTAA